GGTTGTAGCTAAAGTACTCCCCCACTGCATAGACATGTAGCTTGGGCATAAGTTATGTGCGCGCTTACTTCGCTACTGACGAAATCAAAATAGCGGTCGTCAATCCCCGGGACAGAAAGGGCCGCACGGGAGCATGGGTAGTAATTAGCGCCTCATCTGGGTAGTGGTCTGTGCGATCGCATTTCGTAGGCGGTTGGCAAGCGGCAAATACAATTACCTGCTAAGAACCAACCTATACTATAGCTCTCCATACATCATGCACGATAGCAGCGATAACGGGCATGGGGACCCCGTTTTGACCGCTTTCACATGCGCCTTGATAGCATCAACACGAGTTCTTTATGTCGTGGGTACCGAACTCAGCGCAGCGTCTGGCTTAGCCACTTGGCGTGGTACGAACCGACTGTGGAACGACATCAGTTTGCGCCAACTTGCCAGTCTGAAGACATTTTAAGATGATCCAGTCATTGTTTGGCGCTTTTACGGAGAGCGGCTGCTCAAATCACTTGCCTCCCAGCCGAATGCCGCTCATCATGCTCTAGCAGCTCTAGCTACGTGGCATCCAGGATGGTTGACGATAAACCAAAACGTCGATGGTAGGTTCGCTAGGCTACCATTTTAAGACAGATTAGTTATCGTGTCGGCATTGTTGATTCTCAAACAGGCCTTCTCGAGCAAACCGCTCATCCGATGTCAACCCTACTAGGTATCCATGGCAGTTTGACGGCTGTTCGCTGTACCGTTTGTAAATACGTTGTCGACGTCCGTACTCCGCATGACCTTCCATTCCTGCTGGCTCTATCAGATGACAATGACCAGGAACGCTCGATCGGTGTTTCCCATCTACCGCGCTGTCCTGAATGCGGAAATCTACTTCGCCCTGGAGTCGTTTGGTTCGGCGAGCGACTTGCTGCGGGCGCACCGGATAGTGTCGATGAATGGATGTCTGAAGCACCAGTCGATCTGGTCATTGCCATTGGAACAAGCCTTGAAGTCTACCCAGCCGCTGAGTGGGTCAGTACAGCGCGGGCCGAGGGAGCGTCCCTACTGGTCATTGACATCGACAAGGATAACAAGCTCGCAAGAGAATTGGATAACAACGACTGGATTTTTAAGGGCGATGCTGCGATCATTATGCCTGAGATGTTTTGGTCTGTGGAGAGAACAGGAAAGAGAAATGTAGCAAAGATCGTTACCAAGACGGACCAGCAGAATATTCCAACCGTTGATACGAATACTCCTGAAAAGAGGGCTGTCTACGAGCAACATTCGTACATGATGAAGAGACGTCATGATTGATAGATCTGGTTGGCGGGTATAGCCATATCAGAGCAGCCGCTGCTAACCAAAAAACGTACTTGCGTATCGGGTCGTCGTTCGGGTAAGGATGTTCCACTATGTCATTGCATGCGATCTCGAGCAGAGATCTCCGATCCTGATATGTCGCGGTGCCCTTTTCTCTGGAACTGTTTACAAGTCCTCCCCAGTCGAAAGATCGATTGTACATCTAAATGTTATACCAGTGCCAGAAGTAGCTCCTCTAACTTGAAGACGGCAGAAAAGATGGTAGAGAACATCTTCAACACGCTGGCTTAATACGATCACTGAAAGGCGTCTGGTGATGAGGCGCTAGGAAGAGGAGGGGCAGAAGTGCAGGGCGCGAAGCGAATCCTGGAAACCTCCGTGCAAAGCGGACGGGGGGGAATTAGGCATGCATATTGCGGGGCGTGCTCGGGGTTAGAGTTGCTGGCCCCGTGGAGTCGAGTTGGGACTCTTGTTAAAGAGACTGAGAAGAAGCACGAGGGCAAACAAACCTGTGGCTAGCTGAGAAACCCGAGGATTTGCTGATGCGATAGATGAGAATGACTGGTCTCTTTTTCCCAAGCGTGCCAAGCCGACTCGCGAGAAGCTGAGTTTATGGAATGTTTGAAAGGTAGCCAGAAATGCAGAGGCGAGTGGGCGAGGTGAACGGGCGAAGGAATCAGTGTTGGGACGTTTGATAAGGCGGTAATAGCTTATTGGCCATCTGCTCTATTTTAGGCGCCTGCTGGGGGTAGGTGAACACGCGTTCAACGATCTTGATTCGATGAGCACGCTAAACCGGTCAACTTAAAAGCTGCACCCCTCTACACTTTACAAAGAATTATTGAACTTTCCAGCCCACATCCATTTTCGGTCCCGTTTTTCATGTGCGTTCATTTTACCCCGCGCTGGTCAAGCGCGTCACAAAATGTTAAAAGCTAACGAGTCCGATAGGTGTATCGTGCAATTCATAGCTTATATTCTTTCTCGCAAAACTATTTCCACAAACCCCCTTATACATATAAGCAGTCTTATAACGCATTCTAATGGCTACTTCTATTACCGAAGCTAAATCAGCGACCAGTTCTTTGCTCGAGAAAGTTAAGCCACATATGAATGATGCACTGACACTTGAACACCTGGGATTTTTTCTGCCGCTTGCCCTGAAGGCTCTAGATACGATAGAGCGTTTGGGAGTAGAAGATTTACCAAGAGAACTTAATGAGTATAAATCGACCTGCGACAAACTCACGGAAGCTATTCAATCCAACGAGGACTCTCTTGGACAAAGAGCATGGAAAGACGTCACTGTCGAGGGCAAATCATGGCATGACCATTTGGTTATAATGCAATCATGCATCAGCACCCTTCAAGCAGAGGTTAATAAGATAAAAGATGAAATACCGTTACTGGCCGAAGCTATCCTGGCTGCCACTGAACTGAAAAGGAGAATTCAGAGTTCTGAAGGTTCTTCACCTCATTTCGACATCGTAGATGGGACGCTGTTATTCCTACTCCATTCATTGTACCTTTTGCAGTCTCTTCACCGCCAGAATAGCGATAGTGTTGCAGAACTCGCAGATCCTCTACTGCAGTGCGGCTTAAAATGTCGCAGCGCCCTTCCCAGTACGGAAGAAGCCGTTGTTTGGATGGAGAGCTGTCAGCAATTATTGGTGTTACTACAAGGGTTTTCCAACACCTTCGTGTGCTTTTTCATACAGAAAAACAAGTAGGATAATCCCAAAGTCGTCTCGTGTGCGTAAAGACTGATAAAAAGAAGGTATAAGATTGCGAAGCTGCAAGCTCTCTCCATTTTCAGCACGATGGGTACATACTACATGCAGAGAAACCGAGTGATGCTACAGCGGCGAGTTGAGGATTTTTCGGATGCGAATCGAGCGCATCCGGCTTCTGAAAGCGAAATCCAGGCTCTACCCAGAACTACTGAGAGCGTGAAGGAGATCTGTGTGATCTGCAGAGAATCGATGGAGATCACTACAATGCCGTGTGGTCATTGTTATCACTATGGCTGCCTTTCCGGTTGGCTGGAGGTGGCCAAGTCCTGTCCTCAGTGCAGAAAGACGTTAAGATAAGAGAGAAAGGCATATACAGAAGGATCGGTGTAGGCACCAGAATGATATATAGTTCTTTTCGACGTAGATACACAGGATGGAAGCCAATTCCTTTAGCAACAAAATACTGCACATGTCTTAAGCCATGATCTCCAGTAACATTAGAGCCAAAACGGTGTTGGAGTACATGGATCGACTGTTTTTAAAAAGGGGTCTTGCGTAAATTCTCAGCGGTCACGCGTGGATGGCCCAAGCGCCTACCCGGACTTTTTTGAGGCCGATGTCAACCGGAATTCTTGCTGCAAAATTGTAAGCTTAAAACACAGAGTGGCAACTGCGTCGGAGCTCCGGATTTGAGAATCCGGTCCGCGTGCCATAACGCCGTTTCCTGCTGCTGACTATATCTATATGGGGTATCGCATGCTGCATGTAGAAGACTCCATTCTGGCTTCTGAGAGTTTTGCTTACGAAGCTCGGCGTATTCAGAGCGTTATAAGCGAGTGGCCCATATAGACGAGTGGCCCACTTGCCCCATTATGACACATCATTTGAAAGCAATACCCTTACAACACCATATTAAATTAGCTATAGGATAAGAAAATAGTAATCTACATATTCCTTTCATTATTGAGAACACTGATTAATCCTATGGCCTGGCTCACCGCATCTGCTACAGTGGTATAGACGACGCACTACACCACCACCTTGAGGCCTTCCATATTGTATTTCTTGCTCAATTTGGCTATGAACTTGATCCTCATGGACTAAGTTAATACCTTGTGCTTTTGTTAAAGTACCCTGCTTCTTGATCCTCCGCGTTTGGCGCTTCTTTCGAGCAGAAAGTGCTTGGTTTGCTGCCTCAAGATCAGCAACATGTGCCTTCACCAAGGTAGCGTAATTTGCTACTGATTGAGCACCCTTTGCAAGGCGATCCAATGACTCAATGATTGAGGTTGGTGAGCTATTTTGATGGCGCTGAATTCGGCTTCGTATTAGCTCTGTTTGGAGGCCAAGTTCCATTGCATTGCTTGGTGTTTTTGATAGCCAGGTAGTATAATTAATTAATTATGGGTGGTGTTGGTGTACGCAATCGGATATCTAGCTTTGATAATACTGTTTCTGGGTTGAATGGCATAAGGCCTGCACCTCTTGAATGTTTTCTGATCGCAATGCTTGAAAAAATGCTTGTTTGAAAGCTGGTAGGAAGTCAAGTTTTGAAATGTGATGGATGCGGCATTTCACCATCCATTGGTGCCACAATAGCTATCATAACGTGAGTTTACCCCTTATATATATCTAGAAAATGGGGGCATCCAAGGAAGAAGAATTCTTATCCTCATTATACTAACTATCAGGATGATAGCGGATAAGGACGAGCGAGGCGGGACAAAATGGGGGTTTAGATGGATAGACGCCAAAACCGTCTTGATGATTTGGCGGAAATCTGCTAATCCGGGCGGTGATTGTGGATTAATGCTTCAAGAAATCCTCGGCTGGCCTGATCATGAAGTAGTAGTGCAAAAAGCATATTGCGAAAAACGTACGTTAGTTTAAGTGTGGTGGTCCAAGCATCTGGAGGTGGTTTTATAATGTAGTTTTTTAAACTTTTGTCGCTCAATTGTATCAACCGGGGGAATCATATGCATGTAAACAGTCAACTAGATATTGACTCTTGTCAAGTGCCGATGTTTGAGCGGAGCAATCAAGTATACAATCCTGATCCAGCCTGCAGAACATGTAGAGCTAGCCTATACTACATCATTACCGCTGCTTGACTCATCAACACAGTTTCTCTAAAGTTTGTCGAAGTACTGCAGCATCCCGTCCGTTCCGAAGGCAGGGAGTCGGTTGCTGCAGAATAGCTCGGCATACCTGCAATGCGATGTGATTCCATGGCATTGGGTCGCATTGAATCTCCAACAATGATTGTTCAGCTCCAGCCTTACCAACTGTCACCGGCAAGAATCGCCACGCCCCATCCATGACCGAGCCTGCGTCTCGCGGAGTGAACGACTCACTTACAGGGAGCACTAGCATTTGACGCATGATTGTTGCGAAGTCAAGTTTGACAAGCGCCGGACAGCCATCCATTTTACGTGTTTTGAGTTCATCTACGCGCCTGGCCTGCATCTTCGATCTCTGATTTTGATGGCGCTTAAGACAGCAAGGCTGATTTTGATTCGCGTGGCGGCGCTGCCCAACTTTCTCAAGACGTGTAACCTAAATCGGGAGCCAATTGTGTTTGCATCATAGTTCATGCAGGCCTTGCATTAGTCAGGTTCACTTTGTTTATCAGACGGCGGAACAGTACTTCATGCAAGGACGGCAAGCAATTGTGTAGATGTATGACTGATAAGGAGATATGGAAGAAGGACTATGTAGATACAGTGGCCTCAGCAGATCTCAACATTCGAATCTACAACATCGGCATCGCCGTAGTGTTGGAGCGCAGATGACGTCTTTACTCTGGGGCCCATCTCACTGGCGCCCTTGATATCCGTTGACTTCGCGTCTTGATGGTCCTAGGCGTAGGATGTGGTCGCTTAGTGGCCGACCGGTGGTGAAGCCGTCCCGGATCTCGAATCGGCCCGTCGCAGCTGCACTGTGCCCTTGATCGCGATTTGGTCCCAGTATCAGCGAACCGATTTGCCTTGGCCACTCTCTGTGTAAGAAGTTGGCCAAGTGCCTTCTCTTTGGCACGCCGAGGCTTTATCTCCCGACGTTTCGGCATCTGTCCAGTGCCACTTGGTATCGTGACGGCCGAGTCTACGGAGATAGGCTTGGATACTGCAGCCTTGAACGTCCGGGTCCGTATGTTTCGACCCTTTGGTGTGGACTTCGATACCCTCGCCTTCCCGAGGACAGCCGGAGTATTCCATCGCTTTGAGCGCCACTGACGATTGGATGAGGAGTTCTGATCACCGCTGCCTTTCTC